GGCTCAGCTGTTCCACGTGTTTGGCTGATTGACTTTGGCCTTAGCTGTTTTGTGCAGGAAGACTCCTTCAAAGTGTTCCGTGGTACGTTGTCCTGCTTCAGCCTACCTATTTGTTTACCAGTTTACCCATTTGCTTTAATCAGTTTCTTAATGAGGTCTAATTCCTGTATTTTGCAGGCACAGTTGCTCACGCTCCTCCTGAGTGGTACAGCTGTTGCAGCTACAGTGCTGGTCCTACAACAGTGTGGCAGCTGGGAGTGCTACTTTATGAAAGCCTCCACAGAAAACAGTTTGAGACCCAAGAGTTTATCAGGCACAAACTAAAGATCAGCAACAGGCTCTCAAAAAGTAAGAAACACACTCTTGCATGATGAACTGTCAGCACAGGTCTGGTGTAGTTCACCTTCTTAAATCACTGTAGATCTCACCACATTTCCTTTGGTTGCTCCTCAGATTGCCGTCATTTCTTGAGAACTTGTCTAAATCAAGTTCCTGAGCAACGTCCCACTCTGAAGCAACTCTATCAGCACCCGTGGCTCTCAAACTGAAATGGTAACACACACTATAATATTGAACAGAGTTCTTAATTTTTAGCTTTCTGTTAAGGTGACGTGTAATATAAGCTAGACAGTCTCTTATGTTCTTTCCCCATGTTTCTGTGACCATCAGGTAAAATGGGTACAGAGTGGTACATTCCATTCACCTGCGGCACTGGTTCTGCTACGGTGTGGAGAGGACTGAATACAATCACCAGATGGAGTACAGCGAGCAGAGAAGGCCCAGAGTCTGGAGACCAGGTTTGGGCCAATAGATTAAACCAGTTCTTTAACAGGTTTGACTCAGAAGCCCTTCCCTCCCCCATCCAAAGCTCTTCACAACTCCCCGCAACCTCAGTCTGGAGAGGGTCCTCAGTCTATGGAAAACCTCCTGCATGGTGCCAGGTCCAAAGACAACGTACACAAAGGAACCGAATCACTTCAGAACTGTTGCCCTGACTTCACACCTAATAAAGACACCTGATATAAGAGTCATGTTTGTAATTTCTCCAGTGCCTTCAAAACAATCCAGCCCGCAGTGCTTAGGGGGAAGCTGCAGGGAGTGCAAGTGGACCATCTGTTGTCCACATGGATTGTTAACTACCTTACTTACTAGTAGACCCCAGTATGTGAGGCTGTGGGACTGAGTGTCTGAGGTGGTAGTCTGTTACACAGGGGTCCCACAAGGAACAGTACTTGCCCCTTTTCTCTTCACTGC